CTTCACCAGTTGCTGAAGCCTGCAAAAGGCATATCGTTCGTGTCACCCGTTTTCTACCAATTGTTGTCGCATACCCGCTTCACAACTGGCAGAGAACGGGTTTGGCGCCGTGGCACACTCATACTGCCTGACACGCCCCTTCATCCGCAGCGAACTAGAGAATAATGTGTCAACTGCGGATAAAGTTGACCGATGAGTGGGTTAGATTGGATGAAGCTCGATCACGTTCCTCTCGCAAGTACTGCGTGCACCCCTACCGCTGCACTATCCTCACCCTGCTTTCACCCAACCTTCATGAATCTCTAGAGGTTCCATCAGAAATACTGTTATGGTTCTCAAAAGTAGAATGTTTTTCAAGGTTTACAAGTGATCAAAGTAATGTTGGTTGCGATGGCGATCATTTTTGCCCTACTCGCTACTGTAACAAAAGCCGTCTGTCTATTTTATCCATTTCTATTCGTAATTGTAAGTGAAGTATAAACCATTTTCAGTGATTCCTTATAGTGTTTTGATCTTGTTTTCGTTAATGTCACCTATGTTTTCTATTCAAATAGTGAGACTTCTAGATTTTCGAATTCTCAAAGCATGTAATAATCTTCTTTCTCGTTGCACTCAAACTCACCTATCCTGAGAAATATGTGGCAATAATTCATATACAAGGTAGGTTTCACTGCGTTCTTTGTTGGTAAGTTGGAGGGTGCAGCATCGTTGCGAACCCATCGGGGCAAGTGCTGACCGGGGCGGAGAGACGTCGTAAACGAGGGTCGGTGAGCGCAAAGAACAGCACAGAGTGCGCACGCTATAGTCTGTCACTGGCGGACGGAACGTAGGGGGTGGGACGTAGGAAACAATAAAAAAAATTAAAGCTCATGGTTGATAAGCAATATGGACATTTGTACATGAGCTTCGTAATTGCGATAAGATGACGAACAATAACATTCTAAAGCAAAGCTCGTGCGTATACGACCTTTCCTAAAACCCTAGCACTACTCATCTGATTTGCATGGCAAATCATCTAAAATCAGAGTACATTCTTTTCACCACCTCCTAGCGTAGAAGACGTAACATGCTACGTCGCACACTCTGGACCAAATTCGGAGCGATGATAACCCAAATTCATGAATTTGACTCAGTTTAAGCAGGTGAGTGTAGAGGCCTGCGAATGAGAGAGTTGGCATCTCTAGAATGTCGCCCGATAGGGCGACCCATCTTAAATTATGCTTGAACTAAACTGGGTATTTCAGGGAGAAAATTGATGCAGCTTAATAGGGAATAAGAAAACACTGGCCGTACTTGATTGGGAAGTTACTACATAGATTATTAGAAAAAAAGGTTGGTTTGAAAAAAATGTTTCTGCTCTGAAGCATAAAAACTCGCCCGACATTTATTCACTGACGCGCGTAATCCTCAAATTTGAAAATTTCACAAAGCGGGGGAAGATTCAGATTACGCATAGGTAGTAAACGCAACAGTACAGACTTGCTTCAACAAGCCGCCTTTCATTTCTCAAGAGCCCCACATCTAAAAAAGCCGGCATGCCCCGAAAAAGCCCCGCAATTTCCACCTGGCCAACAGATCTGCTCCACCGCTAATTTGCCATGATCCACAACAGCGCTGCAAGCTGCTTTGCATCGTTCGTCATCTAATATTCTCGTCAGAGCAAACAGTTAGAGCCGGAAAGGAGGGGGTACCAGGGTTCTTTTCCGAGGGGGTCGTATGGGCACCGCCATTTCACACATCACTGTGCTGTACCCTAGTTGGAGATCGGCAATGGCACGCCGTCTATCTCCTACGGGCGCGATCATACACTGAGGAGATTCGGCGATAGGGGAGAACTAGCGCTCCTGCGTTTTGAACGATTCGTGTTGTGCTAGGCGATTGCGCGCCGAGGAAATGGATGGGTATCGATTGACGCCCGCCGCTAACGAGTCGGGAGATCCGTCGACCAGGCGCCGATCGATACCCATCCACCTTCTTGGCGCAGTCCCCAGAACACCGGATCCCTGATTCTACCCCGCGGTCAGCTCCATACCCATACTTTCCTAGCCGCGCAATCGCTCTGATCTCTGAATCCTCAGTCGCCAAAGTATGAAAACGGCCTGACAGGTAACGTTTGGACCGCATGACTAGCTATATCAGCACAAAGTGATTCGTTTCTGTTTTCTAGGCCTCACTAGACTACGGAAGTTAACAAAAGGCAACCGCTCAGAGGATGAGCTTTACTATATATGGTGTGGATTTTGTGTAGTTTATTTTGTACTAGTTGCACTAACCATAGTTCGAAATATAATGGACTATCAATTGAGAGAAGTGAGTTGTAAGGAGTATTCTGAGTACATTTACTTTCAATTACACCAAAAACCGATACCTATTAAGCGCTTAAGGCGTCAGCATCAGAACGCCTATCAACCGCACATCCTGCCGCCCGTCCATCGGCGAAGATTAGTGCTTCCAAGGGATCAAGAAGTTGGAAATTTGAACCACGACGATCCACCACCATACTCGGTTAGCTCCTTTTCTTGGGAAGAGGGTCTACTCGGTGACATAGACCTCACGGCAGCTGCTATGCAAAGCATACATATCGATTCCAGCTCGGAGTCGCTCCGTCCACAGATCGTCGTCGGAGGCGAACTCTTCGAGAGACAACTTCTCTTTTCGCTTTTCCGTCCTCACTTTACTAAAGTCGCAGTCGTATTGCTGCTAATCGAACCTATTGCGCTTCTGTTATTCACTGAGCATGGTTGTACTCCAGTTAGTGTGTTACGGGACTGTTCCAGTCTGCCATAAGACCCGGGAGCATACTCGAAACAGCAAAAGAAGAAACAGATCCTCCTCGATACTCGCAACTTGAACTTCCAGTTGATCGCACAGTAAGGTGAGCCATTTTCAAAGGAACTAACATAACTACTGACGGATTTCAATTTCAGCTCACAATCGTGTCTCAGTGAAAAATCTGCTGAAGAGACTGAGACAGCACCATTCAACAGTACGAGAACTTCTCCACGTAACAAACGAAGTTAAAACAGTATACTTACTGGAATTAAGCAATAAATACTTCAAGAATGACCTGATTCAACGTCGCTGATCCGTTCTCATTATTACTCCTTATGCTCGGGCAGGACTCATTGTCCACACGCGAGGGTAACGCGGCCGTGACCGGAAAAGCGGTACGGTTCGGGGGGGGCGGGGGTGGCAGCAGGCTGCATAGGAAAAGTCTGCTTTGAACTACATAGCCGTCGCTGGGACACCCCCTTTCCGCTCTGTGATATGGACAATGTGTTGTGACGAGGCGGCACTAGCTGCCCGTATATCCTGTTTACTTTAGCGCGCTCCTCATTTTGGTCCACTTCCACTTCCAGGTAGCAACGGTTTTCTGAACCGCTAATGGTCTAACAAACTGTCGCCACCCTTTGGCCTCCACAGAGCCCACGAACACACCATCTTTAGATCTATTACCGCAGAGCCTCTGCCGCTTCGCCGGATGCCTGTCAAGTAGGCATTTTGATGCGTTGTAGTAAGTTTCAAACTCTTGGATATAGGGCTTATTTCTCGTGGAGTGAGCAACAGCTTCGCAAACTGTCCCATGTCTCATGGGTAGCAACGGCAATGTACCATGGGTAGCAAACTGTTCCAGTCCAGATGTTCCGCGAAAAGCAAGCAGATCAATAAACCTTTCCCGCCTAATTTTGTCAAGTGTGCTATAAAAAATATGCGAAACGCGCGCAAGCGGTCTTGGGGAAATCCTTGCCACCTCACGTTGCTTTAGAACCTTACATCGGCAGCTTATTTCCTGTTACATGAATGTTCGCGGTCTTCAAGTGGACCCACTGAAGTATCGTTTTCTTTAAAAAACTGCGAGCTTTTTCGATGACGCTGCTGCACACACTTCCTGCGAGTTTCGACGACTTGGTCTCATTTACGGAAAGCCCGATAGTCTTGATAATCGTGCTAGGGCAAGCTAATTACAGATTTTCTTTCAGCTCTTTCTCGTGTTTTTTCGGAAGGCCGCTCCCTTCTTTTTCCTAACTTTCTGGCTTACTTCTACCTAGGGCCCCTGCAGTGAAATAGGAAGTGGTTCTGAGAATGTTCGGCCGACACTCAATCTACACTGATGGAGGCAGGCGGTGCAGTGTGAGGAAACTAGCTCAGTCTCGGTGGGTGATGGAGCTCTTCAAAGTTAAAAAAGGGGCGCTGTCCGACTTAGGAAGGGCATGTTACATTTTCGCTAGTTTTTTTTGCGAGTTCCTGTTCAGTCCCACGTCATTCAATCCCACGTCACACCATGATGAAACCTGTTGACCATTGTCTGTTGTAAACGAAGGTCTTTTTGCTTAGCTATTCAGGGATTCACAGGAGTTTACGTAGGACATAGGCAGCGATTGATGGGATTTAGCAAAATGCCCCCACCAAGCCGAACTGCAGCGGGATGAGGTTTGGAGAAGAACCTCGTCCCCACGTTGGAATCCTCGCGATTTTATGCCCTCAACAAGGATCAATAGCAGATTCGTTTCGAGACAGAGAACAAAACACATTGTCTCTTAAATATTTAATGTTTGTGCTGCGGACATCTACAATGTTATGACGAATATACGAATACATACAAGCAACACGTTAGAGATCACTATTTCTTTACTGTGTGCTGTTACTTTGGTTGCTTTGATTCCTTTACTTCGGATGGTTTGGACTCTTGGACTTTTTGTGGCTTTGGTCGTACGGTCACTGTGACACTCACCTTAAAACAGTACGGTAAGAAGTGGTGGGTAGTGGAGTTCAGCTATGAATTCATAGGCGTTAGTGACTCGACAGTTAAAACAAAAACAATAGAAACCGCAGTAAGCTTCCTTCTTTCCCGTTTGAGCACTATGCGAGAATGTGGGGAAATTGGGACTTTTGAACAGGGCACATCATCGTTGGGAATTTACCAATAGCGAAGGGGTAGTATCTGGTCGCGCAGAAAGGGGGAGAAATTCTTCTCATAGTTGATTTTTATTTTTTCACGGGTGCTTTTAAGGGGGAGGACGTATCCGCTCGTTGTTGGAAGAGGGGAAAGGGTTGTTCTTGCCTTCCAAGAGGATTCTGCTGAGTCGGTTGTTGACTTCTCGCAATTTTTGCTGTTTCACATGTGCTACCCCCCCCCTTCCACGCTAGACAGCTTGATCGCATCACAGGAGAGAATTAGGGGAGGTCGTATCAAGCCCACCCCCTTCGGGGAGTACGGACTCGACCAAAACTATCGCCAACTAATAATTGCTCTGCTTCTGAACAACATGAATAATAGTTGCGCTTTATCCATGATACAAAGGCTACCAAATGAAAAAGATGGCTGGCGCAACTATTCACTGGCGTGGCTCAGGTAATAGGGCAGAATCGATATCAGTGATAAGCGCATTTTCCACACACAGGAGCGCCCGTTAGAAGGCGTATTGGGAGAGAAAAACTCACCGGCATCGCGCATGGTGCGCGGTCGAGCGATGTCGAAGCGGTGGCGTGGATGGGAGCCCTACCAATGATCATCACTGTCATCATGTGCTCTAATAGTTCAACTATTTGTCAGCCTGCGCTCGCCTCTACTGAGTAGCATATGTTCGCCTCACTCAGTGCCGGTGGTCAAAATAGTGGCCACAGTCGGAACCCACAAGTCTTTTTCTCAGATAAATAGTCCTATTACCAAATTATTAATTACAAGTCGGATCGCCCAGCTGTCGCCGGGCGCTCCTCCTTC